CTTAACCGTTCGAAATTAGCGAATTAAAAGAGGAGCGAGAGAGAGAGAGAGAGGTGGGTTTTATAGTCGAAAGAAAGTCAAAAGGGAGTATAGAATGACAGGAAATCGAGAAGGTGTGAGGATCATTTCTCCAAAGGTGAAAAAAAGTCCCCTCCTTCTCTTATACAGGAGATTTCATTTAGACGGATGTCCACTTCCGGTCAATTCTAGAAAAGTGAATTTAACTTTTAAATGGATACTCTCTCTCTCTTTCTCTGTCTCACTCGACAAAAAGTCGATTTTAATTTTACTCTATATTCCAATTCTGAATAGCTTATTTGCAAGCAATCAAGTTTTCTTAATTAGATTCGTGAATGGAAAATATTTAAATACTTTAAATGTTTACCGAATTTCAAAAACACGTCAATTAATACTTTTGCATAAATTTTGTGTAATTTTTCTAAATGAAGTGATCGCTAATAAAAACGAATATGACATCAGTAGCAAAAAAAAAAGAGGGGTTGCTTGTAATACGGTCATTTTCACCCTCTCCCTTAATTTTTATTCATACTCGTACGAAACAGCAATTTTTCTCAGTATTAAGTGGGCTTTAAAATTGTCCGGTCAATTTCGTGGGCGAGAACGTGACGGTTTTTTTAAGCGAGATCGCGCGACAGAACGAAAGGGGTGTATAAATATTAGAACAAGCGAGAGAAATATATAGCGAGCCAGGAAAACCGCAAGAGAAAAAAAATCGCGGTGAGCGAAAGTAGGAGAGAGAAAGAGAGATTGTTGGTTTAAGGGTGGTTGTTCAATTCTTTTTTTTTTTTTTTTTGTTTGTTGCCCTCTACCACTTGATTCGATACTGGCGGAAGAGTTAATCGAATTCCCATTTGTCCGTTTATTGCCTGTAATCAAATCTACAAAGCGGCCGTAAACTATACCATTCTGAAGAGGAATCTCATTGTCGAACAGGGAAACGATTTTTACTGAGGAAAAAGGGTTCCACTAATTATTCATGGGAAAACTTGGGAATTGACCATCAAAATATTTCGTGACAATTTTTTTTTATATGTAAAAAGATATGTTAATAGTTATTGTTGATCGAAATTTTTACGTTAAAAATAGAAACTTTGTTGTTGTTTTTTATTAAAAGTAATGATTGTAAATACAATTAGAAATAATAATGAAAAATTAGTATGAATGGAGGGTGTGTTGACTTGTTGGCTGGACATTAGGACAGGGGAGGGGCCCTTTTGTATTTGAAAATTTCAATTCTGTTAAACGCAAAACCGTCCGTTTAGGAAAACCGATTAAACCGCGGTGACGGCGGTCTGATCCATCATTAGATTTAGGTCTCGAAATTGAATTTTGCTTTCGAAGGGATAATCTTTGGTGTATAGCCCCTGGCTTCGACATTGGCCCAGGCGTCAGAACGCACACGTGAACATGCGCACACTCTCTCTCACACACACACTTTCTCTCTCCCTCTTTGGATGTTTTGGTATACATGCGTTTGACAAGGTGGCGCACTAAAATTCGCTACCATTATTGAGCGATCGTGCAATCGAAAAAAATCACACATTTTTTTTCACTGTCAAAAATCCATATAGAGGTAGAGGAGGAAAGTGGGGGAAGGGTGAGCAACAACCCCATTGGCCTATGCTGATCATCCAAAGTAAATTCACCATGAGAGTGAGAGAGGGAATTTGAAGGGGTTAACTACCCCCGCGCAATGTATTTGTCTGGCCACTGTTGACCAGCTATCGATATCGTTGCACACTCGCATGCTTCGCTATTATATATTCCCAAGTGCACTCGCAAATTTCGATTAATGAATTATATATACGAGCGCATAAACATTATAATGGACCGCGTTTCAATATATCGATCTGAACCGTATAACGAATCGCAAGAGCGCCATCATGAAATTTACCGATTTTCCCAAACGACTATTTGTTCATCCTTAAATTGATATTTAATTTGAAATTTTGAACTGCGTTATCTAAAATTTACAGGATATTTACCATATTCGAATTTCGCTTATATATATGTACTGTATGCATTTTATATATAATTTTCTGCTACATTTAACTTGACTATTGTAATATAGGAAATATATTTTAAATTTTTTAAAAAATTACTATAAATAACAGTAAAATCCCTTGCATATTAAATATCAATATAGAATTAAATTTTTACGAGCAAATACATATTTACTGTAAATATAGCATAAAGATTGTATGTTTTATGGTTTTTTTTAAATCAGGTTTCAAATTCACGTTAACAAAAATTATTTCCAAGTATAATAAACTTTTTTTCAATTTTTTATTATAAGAGAATTAATTACAATTTTAAATATTTAAAATTTGGAATATTATAAAATATTATGAATTAAAAAAATTTTATTATTGGTGTTTTTCCTAATGAAAAATATATTATTATTGGTGTTTTTCCTAAATAAAAATATATTATTATTAGTATTTTTCCTAATTAAAAATATTTTATTATTGGTGTTTTTCCTAATTAAAAATATGTTATTATTGGTGTTTTTCCTAACCAAAAATATATTATTATTGGTGTTTTTCCTAATTCATCACATAAGAAACAAATAAAAATGTTTATCAATTTTAAAGTATATTTGTATATTATATATATATATATATATATATATATATAAATTTGAATGAATATGAATTTAAATTTATTTTTTTTTAAGCTTCTAAATTTTCCGTTATGAAAGCGAATACAAAAAAGGGTCAAATATCCTGCATACTATATACGGTATATATATAATAGTGGTGATTATATGTAAAAAAAGAAGGCTTGAAGTTTCACGAATTGTGTTTGAACATCGGTCGTTTTTCTGGGCGGAGGTTATTAATGTAAGGGGTGGTCGAGCAGTAGTTATTCGACCGCGTCGTGGTTGAAGCTAAAATCAATGTAAACCCTTCTTTTATCGCGATTCGGTGCAACCCGCAGAATGAAAGATGCGCCAACATTTCACGTACCCTATATATATGATAAACTAAACTTTGAGGAAAAAAAAATCCTAAACGTTTTGTTTTTTTTTCTTTTTAAAAAAAATTATTTGATTCAAGTAAATATTTATTTGATAACAGTCAAGTAACCGGTTATTTGAATCAAATAATTTTTATAGAATAGGAAATGAAAAAATATATTTTATAAAATAGAAAAGATTTAACCAACTATATTATGATCATCGAATCTAAATTTTTATCTCTCAATTACATTGTTTTTCTTCGTTTGTTTGTTAACTATAAAAAGTCTCAGCCGTGAACGGAAAATCGGAATGTGGGTCAGTTGCTATCAATCTTCAATGCTCATAAAGTCCATGGGTCATTGTACAAATGCACTGATGTTATAAATGTGATCTCCATTATCATTCACAAAAAAAGAAAGAAGACAGAAAAAAACACCCCGTATTAATTATAATAATAAATTTTATTAAAAATTAAATTTTAAATTATAATAAATTTTATTTATACCTATATTTATGTTAATTATAAATTTCAATTAAATAAACAAAGTATGATCAAAGGGAGTAGAAAATAAACCCAGAGAGAAAAAGATTGAGAAAAAGGTCAAGGAATTAAATAGCTAGAATTCCGGGGTTCTTTTCTCTCTTTTTTTTTTTTTTTGCTTTTAATTTTCGAGAATAAGCGCAAAGTAAATGTTCATTTGGGTGTGAGAGAGAGAAATTTTTTTTCTAAGGGTTGATTCCCGCGCTCGCGAGATCACGATTTGTTGCTGGGATGAGGAACTGACCATTTGAAGGGTAATAGCTTCCAATTGACTACATTCATCCCCTAATGAAATTCTTTCTGAAATATATCCCAATGACGCCCTTCATCGGCTCTCTTTATAAAAAAAAAGAATCGAAAGAAGAAAAAAATAAATAAATTCTTATCCAACGATAAGATCGATTGATAAATGCGTCCTTATTTATACAGTGGCACACACCGATCACTTCCGTTCCCTGTTTTGTTGGAGAATTATCAGTTTCCCTGACATTAACCTAAGAAAACGTAATCTACTCGCGGAGATCTGTACCGCACAATTTACAGCCAGAAGGCTCTTTACCATTTACGGTAATTCCGATTAAGAGCACAATGAAAAAAGATATGGTTAAATGTACTGTGTTTTATGGTCAGACCTGAGAACCACACACTAATGCTTTAATGACACTAGTTAAACTAAATATATATATATGTGTGTGTATTTACATTTAAATTATATATTTTTAAATTTAAATCACATATACATATATCATTAAACATTATCTATACTTCTCATGTAAATTTTAAAACAAATACTGTTTTTTTACGATAAGCTATATTTCACATGATAATTATACTGGAAAAAAATATTATTGATTCAGAATAACTTTTGTACTAAGAATTTCCATTTAACCGATATTTTATTATTATTGATTTAAAATTATTTTAATCTCTCAAAAATTGATATTTTACTCCCTTGAAATATATAACTATAGAAGATTCTCCCTTAGAAGGAATTTTTATTAGTTTTCCATTTTTTTTCTGGTTTAGAAATATTTAATCTGCAAAATTTATTATAGTAATATTCAACTGATGTTTAATATTTAACATATGGGTTTAATTTAACAAACAATAGTTTATCTACCGGTAACTAGATTGACCTACATTTCAGGAGTTGAGAATAAAATCGATATACAACTAAAAATATTCCTTCCAAAATTTACTACACTGATAAAATCTTTTTATAAAAAAATTTGTGTTGCGCTTCAAAGAAAGGTATACCTAAGAAGCAAACGAATTATAGGTTATGTTCCTCTTTATATCGAAATAAATTTTTTTAAAAATATTTTTGTAATGAAGAAACATAACTTAAATTTTTTTGCTTACCCTAAACTATTTCTTTTAAGGATTTTTTTTCGTAATGATGGGAATTATTAAAAAAAAAAAAAGAAAAAAATCACAAAACGAATTCTGAAATATAAAATGATGATATAGACTTACCAGTATGTAGTCTTGTGTGTTGTTGTACATGACTGAGTTGTTTAAACCTCCGATCGCAGTAACTGCATTTGTAAGGCTTCTCACCAGTGTGAACTCTGATGTGTTGAACAAGCTGATGATTGCTCGAGAATGACTTGAGGCATTGTTGACATTGATGGGGTTTGACTTCGTTTCCGGTGATCATGCCACCAGGTCCAACGCCAAGGCCTGCCAATCCTCCTGGGATACCAACACCGGGACGTCCCGTTAATGCTCCCGCAGCAAGATCTCTCGGGTGCATCATTGTGGCTGTCTGTTTCATGAAGATCTGCGTAAAGAACTGCCGGGGTTAGTTGGTATGCTGAACTTTTTTCGAGTCAGGGGCATTGGCAATTTTTAGACTCTTTTTTTTGATTTTTTTTTTTTAGGGGTGAAGGGGGTGTCAAAGTCCAAAAACTGCCAGAAAATTTAAGCTACATGGAAAAAAAACTATTTTTGTGGAACAGCAAATAGTGAAATATTGAAACAATTACAACTTCTGTCATTTTATAGTTTAGAAATATATTTTTTTTCCGTGTAAAATAAAATATATTATAACTAATTTACAATACTAATTATGTCACTGTTTATGTTTCTAATATAACTACAAATTGTTTATAATATTTATAAAACGATCCTCGATGATTATAATAAATTTTCGAATTTTAGAACTATTTTTAAATTCAATTTCAAAATGCAATTTTTTTTTTACTGCAAAAAATCCTGATTCAGTTTGTGATAATGAAACAAAATAACTTTTATCAGTATATTGAAAGTTTAATCTTTACACCTTTAGTTGTTTTGCTGATTAACACACACTCTATATTATGGATAAAATTAGAAACTGAATCAGTTGAGCAGAAAAAGACAAGTACTACTTTCAGCTATTTAACAAAATGATGCATCTTCTTTTTTATATACAGGGGCATTCCACATGAAATTTTTATTGAATTTTTTCTCTCTTCTCTTTCTTTTCTTTCTATCTTTTTTTCTCTTTAATTTTCTCTGCTGTAAGCACGTTTATAAACACAATTTTTTTGTTGAAATTTTTCCACACAATCACGAAAATTATTAACGCACTGAATTCACGATTAGAAAGGAAAAAAAAATTGATAGACAAATACCTACAACTGATCATTGTTTTATTTTTCGGTAATTCTAATTCCTAAACACTACTTGAACCCAAGGCAGAGGGCAAGAGACTGACTTAGTTGATGGATCTTAAAAGAAAAGAAGGGTTCGCTTTCTGTTTCTTCTAAAAAGAGAACAGGTGTTTGTGGCATGCGCTTGCCTCCACTTTGTATATATAAAGAGTATTTTATGTCTTAGTGTGTGGGTGAACGGAAGGGTTAACGTTTAAAACGTTACAGTCATGGATAAAATTATCTCTCTCTCTCTCTCTTTCTCTCTCACTTTTTTTTTCTCTCTTCCTCTTCATCAGGAAATGAAAGAACTATGCGCAAGAAAGTCGCGGCGAAATTAAAGAAAAAGGAGCTATATATATATATATAAAAGGGGTTAGGAGGATTTTATTAAAATATGTTAAAACTGTAATTAAAATCGAAAAATCTCGTGAGAAGTTTTAAGAATCTTAGCTCGAGAGAGAGAAGAGGATACAGAATAAAGATACTGCGAGAGAAAGAGAGAAAGAATTGAAATTGTCACAGAGGGTTCTCAAGTTTCTCCACTGGAATTTCTCCATACCATCATCCCTTTTTGCCATTGTCTCTCACTCTCTTTCTAGATTTCTTATTTCACAAGAGAGACAGATGAGGGAGAGAGAGAGAGAGGGGGGGGTCAGATGATCGACACGGGGCATCTCTGATTCTTAATTCTCGTGAGAGAGAAAACCTGCTCTCCGATTTTCTTCCCGAGCTCTTTTTAACTCTTTCTTTCCACTCTCGCGAGCTTTCAATTCATTCTTATGCCAAGGAATTGGAATTTAATGAAAATTGTTCGCCGTTTTAATAAAGATAAGAATCCCGCGTCTTCAACTAATATTATTATATTTTATTATTATTATTATTATTATTATTATTCATAATTTGCTGTAATTATTATATCTTTAATATTTTTTTCCAAAACTTTTTTTTGAAATATTTCAATCATTTTATTTTGTTTAACCGAAAAAATTTCATTAATCAAAAATCCTTTATCTTCTTTTTTTTAAGAAGGCGGAAAATTGTGTCTTATTTTTTTTTCTTACTGATTTATCGTTGTGCGACTGCGAAATATAATGAGGGAGGGAAAAAAAAAAGGAAACCAAGATTTTCTTAATGGAAAAAATATATCAAACTGGGATATATTTTAGGTGCGAGTAGCATCACTAACTCATTTTACATTTTCTGAAATTTCTTTCTTTTAAATATAGCTATATCTTCTAAGACTTATTGTCGTGCTTCCTACCCCCACCCCCCTCCCTTCCGGCGCCAACGAGGGATCGTTAGCATATTTTTGGGAGACGCAACCCTTTTTTCTATTTATTTTTTTTTTTCGTGAGTTACGAATGTCGAATGGCACACATATATACTTAAAGTAGGCTACTTTATGCACTTTGAAATACACAAAGCAAAGGTCTCACCTGCTGACCATATGCCCTCTTTGGAGCCATGGTACAAACCGTACCTACACGCATCATGAGCACGCACACATTATATATTATACATTATCCACCCACGCATTCGTGAACTTACATCAAAGAAATTTGGTGTAAGAATTTTCATTTAAGTAATCCGTTTTTTTTAAATTTTTTTTTTAATTTTTCTTAAAATTTTTTAATAAAAATAAATAATTTTAATAAATTCAATATATCTCAGTTAACATCTTTTTTTCTGTGTTTAAAAAGAAAGAAATTTAAAGAGGCAAATAAAAGATCTATACAGTTATTAATACACGACATTTCGATTTATAAGTGATACAATAAAAAGATTGAAAATCGTCGCAGTTAAAGGAAATAAATAAATATTTGTATATACAGTGTGCGTCAATGTCTGAAATTGGAATTATGTATGAAGTGATTTTCAGAGTGTTGAATATATATACAATATGGAACTTGAACTCGCAGGTTACTCTAATCATGTATATATATACACACATGTAGAATGTACGAAGGTTAGAGTAGAATCTTCAGTTAAACTGACCTAACCCTAGGAATAACCTTAAACTACCCTAGATATTAGCTTGTGTGGAATTCTGTATATAGCAAATAAGCCATATCTGAGACTTAGGTCTATCCCTCCATTATACATATATATATATATATAGTTCGAATAAAGGGAAAGGATCTACTACCCTGTAATTGTCGATCTTAATCCGTTCTGAAATCGTAATTTTGATCGCTCAGGTAATCAGTATTTTGCCACTTCCGGTTTTCGCACCAAACAAAACGTTTCGTTTTATCGAAAAAATAAATGTTTCTTCTATTTTTTACTTTCTTGATTAAAATCATGATTTGATCCTATATTAATATTTAGGATTTCGATTGTTTTTTTTAATTCTACCATACTGATGATCTATCTATAAAGTGAGCTCTCTGAATCTTAGTAAAATTTTTACTTTTTGAATTAGTAATTATTATTTATTTATATAAAAATAAATGTTATTTATCTCAAATGAACGCAAATAGAATTATAAACTTCTGGTAATATAGTAGAATGATTATGCAAAAATATTGCTAATTAAAATTAGTAAGAATCACTAAATTGGGTAATTTTTAACTAATAAAATGAAATTGTCGCCAGCGCCTCCTAGTGTTCACTTTTCGGTAATAGTAAACGTCTTATACATATACACAGCTTCGAATATTTTTTAAAATTTAAATTTGAACTAGACATTAATGTATTAAAATAATTAAGATCATTTTATTTTTAATTAATAATTCTTGTTTTGCTTTAAAATAAAAAAAAAAAACTCAACAATTATGATCAATTTGCAAGTGTAATATATACATATATATAAAACTCGCGGGTTCTATATACTGGTATTGTTAAGTATAGAGACTATTAATACAAAATTCATATTGACTTCAGTTATATATATATATATCGGAATTACCATTCACCTTTTAAAATACGAAAGGCGCCTCTATATGTAAACACGAGGTGCGAATACAGGTCGTAATATTTTAGTAAGACGTACATATATGAGCACTGGAAAGCGAACACGTTCTGTACACAGTTATCCTATAATTTAGTTATACTATGTCTTTAGCAATCATATTTAAATCTCAAACTAGATATAATATTCCTTATATGATTATATCGTTATCACACTTCTTCGCTATATATATGATTCAGATCGATCTCTAATGGTTATACATATATATAACATTAAATTTTATTTGGTTTAAATAAAAAATTTCTTTATAAAAAAAATGTATTATTTTCATAAAAAAATATTTATAAAGAAATATTTTCTTTAAATATATAAGAAATGGAAAAAAAAGTTGATTTACTAGTTATAACTGTATGATGTCGTTTGTTGTATAAAGTGGTGTCATTTTTCTATTAGATTATGTAAAACCGCGTTCTCGCCGCGAGTTATATAGAAGTCGAAACTCGAAAGAGACTTGAGGTGGTCGTCCTTCGAGGTTCGAGTATTTCTCTCTAGCATATATAATATATATATATATAAAAGATTATCGCGCGGGAGAGATATACTGTATATATATATATATACGTCTCTAAAGTTAATAATTGAAGGGCTTCGACAGGGCGGAGTCAAATAATGACCGCAAATTCGACGGTTTTCAATGTTCCTAAAGATTCCTATAATTATGTGGTTAAACAGTGTATTTTTTCCCTCGCTTCCGAATGTTTGGTTGGTTAATCATAGGTTTGCACGCACTTCTCTCATAATCGTGAAATCGAAATATATATATATATGTATATGAAAGGCAAAGTGCCGACAAGACACCTTTCAACTTTGTCCAATTCCTCCTATATACATATATTGATTATTATATTATTTTTCAAAAAAATTTTTTAGGCTTCATTTACTTAGTTTGATTTTTTATTAGTAAAAAAAACTATATAATTTTTAGTAGAAGAACAACTAATTTCTAGTAAGAATTAAGTAATTATTAGTAAGAATTAACTAATTTTTAGTAGAAAAATAACTAATTATTAGTCAAAATGAACTAATTTTTAGTATAGAAAAAAATAACTTACTCTCTATAAGTTTGAATTCGTTCACTAATTTAAATCAGACAAAATTTCTACTAATTATAATTTTAAAAACTAATTTTAAAAACTAAAACTGTAGTAAAAAAAAATGAAATTCTGATTAAAAAAATTATATTTT